TTTGCTACTTGTACCCACCTGCTTTCTAGTTCAGTCATTCATTCGTTCACATTCTAACAGATGAGTAGAATATAGTTAGTACCCTTCGTAAGTCATTACATCCCTTGGTCGTGTGGTAGTTGGAGGAATCCGATGCGGATTAGGCGGGCGTGAAGATGCTGCTGCCACAACCTCGAGGCTTGTTTGATGCCGTACAGAGATTTTTCCAGCTGAAAAACTTGGTTGGGGTCTGTAGTAGACCCGTGCGGGAGTTCAAAGAAGATCTCAGCATCAACAGGGGCGTAGAGAAATGCGTTGGCGACATCGATTTGCCGAAGCTTCTTCCGGTTCATGGCGGCTATCGCGAGGAGAATCCACAGTGAGGTATGTCGGCTTACTGGTGAAAATTTTGCCGTGAAGTCTCGTCCTTGTTCTTGGTCGAAGCCACGCACGACCCAGCGTGCCTTGAATTTGTTGATTGTACCATCGGCTTTTGTTTTCACGCGGAAAACCCATTTTCCTGTGAGAATGGTCTTGTTGCGTGCCGCTCCGATAGGCACGACTTTCCTGGTGTTGCGTTCTTGCAGCGCATTTAACTCTCTTTCCATGGCTTCACAGCATTTTTCTTTGTGTTCCCCCCCCAGAGCCTGCTGAATGTTGGCAGGCTCCTTAGGCGGTGCTGCTCCGTGGACAGCGGTGACGAGTCCTGGTATCTGCAGTCCGCTCTGTGTGTAACGGGGGAGATTTGCGTCCTCGCGATAAGTTGCTTCATCTCCTGCTTCTGGATCTGGTAAGAAATTTGGTCCTATGCGTTCGGAGACGTTGATGTCGACTGGTTGGGGTGTAACGTAACCGGTGTCGTCGAAGTCGAAGTAGGTTTCGGTGTTGACACTTTCGCGAGGGTTTTCGTCATCCATCGGGATGGGCACGGAGCAATACGGGAGAGGTCCGGCTTCTTCCGAAGATTCATCCACGTTCTGCTCGTCCCAGTCAGCTTCGTTTGCTGCTAAAGCGAAGGCTCGGTTGCCACGGAAGCCGCCTGTGAGGTCTTGATTTGCTGCCAGGTTGTCCAGGTACGTGTGAAGTGTGAGTCGCTCGTAGAAGATGACATCACGTGCTGCTACTGTTTCCTTCGAGTGGATGTCGAAAATCTTCCATGCGTTGTAATGCTTTTCGATGCCCAGGTGTAGCCCCCACTGTGCGCGTTGGGAAAACTTTCCGGCTCTTGCAGTGTGCGATCGGTACTGTACCATGCACCCAAAAACTCGTAACATTTTTGTGTTGCCCAGTCTTCCTGTCCACAGCAGGTGCGGTGATGCGTTGTTCGGTAGCGATGATGACGAGAGCAAGTTGTGCAGCATTACAGCGTGGTCCATCGCCTCAGGCCACTGGTGGCTGGGCAAACGCATGCCATGCAACATTTTGCGCATGGTGTTCTGGAGAGTTTTGTTCATCCGCTCTGCCACGCCTTGCTATTGATGGGCATAGGGAAGCGAGATGAGTCGTTTGATGCCTCGTTCTGCGAGGTACTGCCGGAACCTTTGTGACTGATATTCCCCTCCTCCGTCTGACTGGAAGCTTTTCAGCTTTGCTCCTGATTCTCGTTCTGCCATAGGTAGCCAGACGACGAAGGCTTTGAAGGCCATGTCGCGACTTGGGAGGTTGAGGTGCCAGACGTATCGGGTGGCGGCGTCGATGGAAGTAATCACGTGGTTATATGCTCCTTGTCCTTGTTCGCAAGTATACAGGATGTCGCTGTATACTTTCTCGAGTGGTGCGTAGGCTGGCGCGCTTGGATTGTGGTGAGGGACAAATGGTTGATGAGGTAAGTCAGCTTCGGGGCACGTAAAGCATGTGCCTCGAACTTGTTGGAGTTCTGTGCCGTCGGGTAGAAGGAGTGAGTCTTTGTCGAGTACAGCCGCCTTTATTGTGTTGTTTAACGTGGTGTTGCTTGGATTACCTAATCGTTCGTGCCATAGTGATTCGCTTGCACCATGTCCGAGTGAGCGCCTGTACAGATCGGAGTTGGCGTAAAATCCCGCGGTGAGGTTGGCACTTCTGTGGACTTCGCGTGGAGTGGGAGCTAACTGCTGCGCAGGAGTAAGTGGAGTGTCATCGATGAGAACTGGTGCCGTTGAAGAGCCCGCGATTGGTGCCGTAAATGTTGCTGGTGCTGCCGATGTTGTCTCCGCTGCTGTTGATGTTGTTGCTGCTGCTGTCGATGTTATCTCTTCTTGCCGGATTGATGCTAATGCCCGTGTTCTTTCTGCTTCAGGTATGGTATGTGAATACCAGAATCCTCCGGGACTGAAGTCGGGATCGAGGTCTGGTGGATGTGTCCAAGAAGTGAAGTTGACGATGGCGTCGCTGTCGGCGGTACCTTGGTCCGGAACGAAGTCAAGAACGAAGACGTTGTTCTTCAAGACTGCCTTGCCGATGTAGAGTTCGCCTTTTCCGTGGAATAACTTGAACTCCTGAGTGGTGCTGTCTGCTTCGAGATGAATACCCTTCGCCATCAGTTGACTGACGCTGAGTAAGTTGTAGCCGAGTCCTTCTACAATTAGAACTTTAGACATTTGTAAAATAACGTTAGTTTCTCGAGATTGAAGTTGCACGTTCCCTTGTCGTCGTGTGTGCAGGTTCTGGTTGTTGGCGACGGTGATTACAACTTCGCGCTGAAGTTGATGTTCTTGTTGAACGAAGTGACTCGAGGAGCACATGTGCTGTCCGCAGCAACTGTCCAAGAACCAAGTGTCTTTTCCGGTCGGCTCGCTCTGGGCGATGGCTGCATACGTCGGTTTGGGCTCCAGTGATTCGCGGCGAGGAGTCCTCTCATCGAGATGTTCTTCTGGTGAGTAGTGGGGTGGTGATCCGGTGATGCAGGAGTCCGTCGTTCTTGTCATGCAGCTCACGATGTTTCTTGTTCCTTGTGCAGGTTTTGTCGTTGAAGGTGTTGAAGACTGCACTTGATTGGTGGGATGTGCCTGCGTAGAAGCTATTTGACTGCTTGAAGGCCGAAGTTGATGTTGCGGCGTTGTCGACTGCTGCTGATTCGGGCATTGTGTGCGAGGATGTCCAGACGTCTTGCAGAGGTGACAAAACGGTGGGACGTAGTGTTGAGTTTGACAGTTGTTTTGTCGATTGTTGTTGTTGTAGCGTCGTTGAGTGTGAAACGCGAATTCTGGTGCTGACGCTTTCGTCTTGTGTCTTTCCTCATGCAGATCCATATCCTGCTGTTCAGCGTGAATTTCGGCGCAGAGTGCTGCTTCGGAGATTTTTCCCGTGAGCTCGAAGGAGTGCTCGAGTGGAGCGCCAATGAGGACCGAGGCCGGCAATGATGACTGTTACGAAGGCTTCTTTGGATATTGCTCCTCCGCATCGAAGGAGTCTGTCGCGCAGTCCACGACAACGGCTGATATACGCCATTCCCTTTTCGCCGGGTTTCATTTCCACTGTTGTCAGCTGTGCCATGAGACTACTTTGATTAACACTGTCTGTTGCTTGATACAGGCTCTTCAGGTGGTAGTACGCCAGCTCGGCGGAGTTGCCGTATCCTCGATAAGACCGAATGTTCTGCTGCTCGTTTGGCATTAAATTTCGAAGAAGTATCGTGTACGCCATTAGCGATTGATACGTATACTGCTGCTTATCATATTGTGTCCCATGCGTTGGGTATGGCAGGGACCCGTCGAAGAATCCAAGTATTTGCGCGCCCTCCATCATCAGCTCGAATTCGAATGACCGGGTATAGAAGTCTTTTCCGTCGAAAGGCGTTGATGTCTGCAGTTTTAACACATGTGCAAATTGTGATTGAACTTGAAGTGCGTCTAATGTCTTCTCTTGTCCAGGTGAAGACTGCGGTTGTGGCGTGAAACTGATGGAGCCACGTTGAGACTCGTACGGAGCAAAGGTGGGTTGCTGCTGATTTCCGCGCGCATAGGATGAACCGTCAAGGCTCATCGGTGTTGCTCTGTTGTTTTTGTCGCTGTTGTTTGATTGCACAGGAGCTGCTTGCTGGTGTTGCTCGTAGAAGGACATGAAGGAGAAGAACTTCTCCATCATGTTTGGGTCAAAGCCTGCTGCTTGATTCCCATGAGTTTCGGTCGACTCCGCAGCTGGTCTTGTTGTTGTGCCTTCCTCTGTCTGTAGGCCAGAGGCTGGAGGTGGAGTAGTTCCGAGAGATCCGTTAGAGGAGCTCCTCTCGTTCTGTGTTGCCATGTCTTGCGTTGTTGTAGGTATTTGAGAAATCGATCTTGCCCTGTTTGCTCTCATACCATGTTGGGGCACTGAGAAAAAGGCCCTTAGGATCTTTCAAGGCTAAGATCTAAGTTGAAGTAGAAATGTTGTAGTTGCGGAAGCGTTTTAATATCAGAGTTGCTGAACCACCTTGTACTAGTGTGTGAGAACAAGATAAGTTGATAATAGCAAAGAGATACAAGCCTTTTATATGATTACAAGGGAATATGAAAAGTTCGACTTTAACTGATTTTGCTGTTGCGGTTCGATACAGTGTCGACTCGGGTAACTGCTCAGTATCCAGTCAGTTATGTGTCCTTGCTGTCGCACTGTACTTTTCGTCGAGTCAAAGGTCAGCGACCTTTGACCTTCGCGTAACCTCCGGCAGTTGCTTTTGTTGACTCGTGTTTTGCTTCGCTGTAGTCTGCTCTGTTTCATGTCGATGCTTCGATACTTCAGAAGCGTTTAAGTTACTTGTTTCCAACAGCTTCAACCTCCTGCTGTTGTCGCCTTGTCAACCGCTTTGGTTGACTCGCCGTTACTTCGTTGTAGTTCGCTTTGCTTACGTTGTAGTGTTCGATACTTCAGAAGCGCAATTTAAATGTTTCCAACATGTTGGAGGTTGGAACACACAATTTACTAGGTTCCACAGCATGTCGATTGTAGACTTTACAAGCATTTCCTCTAAAAGGTTATGAAAGAATGCACTGAAAAAATGTTACAAGAGAGTGAAGCGTGAACGACGATTCGTATTTACGCATTCGTGCTCGTACGCTATTTGTATATCAGAGGGCCACCACTTTTGGTAGGCCACCTTGACACAGAAGCGTGGCAGCAGTGCCAGCACCACCATCAGCAGCACGTCCAACCAAAATGTTGACGTGGCGATGGCGTATCGGAACGACCTGGTTGGGTGGGGAGAGCATGGTATTGAGAATGAGAGAGACAAGGGTGGAGCAGAAGCGTGGCAGCAGCGCCATCAGCAGCATGTCCAACCAGAAGGTAGATGTCGCGATGGCGATTCGGAAGGGGCTGGGAGTGGGGTGAGTAGCAACCCCGGGGAAAGTATGATGATTCAAAGAAACGAAGAAAAGGGGAGGGGGGGGGGGGAATGAAACTACTGTAAAGGTTGGTAAGGGAATAGTGAAGAGAGAACATGATAGATACGCAAGGCATCTAGCGCAGCAGTTTCAAGACATTGACCATGCACCATAAACAACCGAGGCAGAGAAGCAGAGAGGGCGAGAAGAAAAATCTGATGCCACAACACTCACCCGTATTCAGGCAGCAGAGGGATGTAGTCAATAACCACTATCGAGACCACTGTAACGAGTATAGCGATCGCAATCGCAGCCGCGTGGAGCCACGTCCACCGTCGGATGTCCATCGCAAGATGTACAGTCACCACCAGCACCAGCGCCACCAACCACGTCTGCCCCAACGCCCACATGTCGCCGTCTAGCACACTCACTGTTGCCACGCCCACCAGAAACAGCACCAGGCTCTGCCACGTGGCATCCAGCATGGCAGCCAGAAACATGGGCAGGTTGTAAGTTTCCTCGCGCTGCCCGGCGCCGTAGAGCTGCGGCCAGGCGAGCAGGCGGGCGGGCAGGAGGGTTTGGTCGATGGAGGCGACGACGACGGTGGGGAGGGTGGTGTAGGTGAGGGAGAAGAACATGAGGCTCAGCTGGCCGATGGCTGGGGTTGTAGAGAACGCGGTTTGGGAGAGGTACCTGTTGTGAGAGGGGGGTTGGAGGAGGAGGAAAGAGAGAAAGGAAGAGAATTCTGAGATGGCCAATGACATGGGGTGGTGTACGTGAACGAGAAGAACATGAGAAGGCTGAGCTGGCCAATGGCTGGAGTGGTGGAGAAGGGAGAGGAACCTGTTTCACCAAGGGATTGGAGGAAGAAAGAAAGAAAGGAACATAGTTCTGAGTTGGTGGACAAATTACATGAGCAGGAGCACGAAGACGGAGTTTTTTTTTTAGGTTGTAAACGAATGCCATGCGGATGTAGTTCCTCCAACTAATGCCCACGAACCACTTTTGGGCATTTCGAGACGTCTAAAGACCCACCAGAAGAGCAGGAGCACGAAGACGGCGTTCTTGTAGAGATTGTAGACGATCATGTAGGCCATGCGGTGGTAGTTCCAGTGCCCGTGCACCAGCAGCAGCTTGGAGGCATTTTGTAGTGTCTAAGGACCCGCCAGAAGAACAGGAGTATGAATACGCACCAGAAGAGCAGGAGCACGAAGACAGTGTTCTTGTAGAGATTGTAGACGATCATGTAGGCCATGCGATGGTAGTTCCAGTGCCCGTGCACCAGCAGCAGGCGGGCGAGGAAGCGGAACTGCGAGATGGCGAAGTCACTCGCCATCACTGCCTGCCTCCCCTCGTGGCCTCTGATGCCCACCCCTATGGCCGCTGTTTGAATCATTGGCACGTCGTTGGCACCTGTCGGGAAAGATGGGAAGGTGGGTTGAGAGAGGGAAAGAGCATAGACAATGAGCACGAGCAGCAGGCGAGCGAGGAAGCGGAACTGCGAGATGGCAAAGCCACTCGCCATCGCGGCTTGTCTTCCCTCATGGCTTCGTATGCCCACCCCTATGGCGCCGTCTGAATCATCGGCACGTCGTTGGCTCCTGATGGAAGGAGCGGGAGAGTGGGAACACGAGAAGGAGTGAGCAAAGACAATGACCACAAGCAGCAAACGAGCCAGGAAGCGGAACTGCGAGATGGCAAAGTCACTCGCCATCACCGCCTGCCGCCCCTCATGTCCTTGGATGCCCACCCCTATGGCGGCCGTCTGAATCATCGGCACATTGTTGGCTCCTGAGTGAACGAGCGGGAGAGGAGAACGAGGATAAAAGAAAGAGGAACAAGAGAAAGAGAGGAAGAATGGGTGACAACGAAAGTGCTGGACAGCGAAGTTGCTCACCATCACAGCCTGCCTTTTGAGGCGCCGCAAAAAATCGATCAATATAAAAATTGCGGGTAATGAGACGACTTTTGAGGTTGCTCATAAGTCCTCAAAAATTTTGAGGCACCTCAAACAACGAAAGTGCTGGACAGCGAAGTTGCTCACCATCACAGCCTGCCGCCCCTCGCATCCCCGTGCACCTGCTTGGATGTTTGCCCTGATGTCGACTCACCATCCCCGACAGCGAAGGCTGATTTCCCTGGTATCAACCACTATCATCAATACCTAGTGCTCATTCTCCTGAGACCCACTGACCATCTTTAGTTGTGAGGGTTAATTCCCCTAAAATCAACTCACCATGGGCAATAGTGAGGGTGAATTCCCCCTAACATTAACTCACCATCGCCAATCGCGAGGGTTAATTCCCCTGACAGCTGCCTCACGAGTGCCACCACAGCAGCCTTCTGCATGGGCGCCACTCGACAGCACAGCACCACGGAGCAGCGCTGTGATGCTCGGAAGAACTGGTGGGGGAGGCGGGCGGGCAAGATGAAAAGGGTGAATGAGGTGAGTGCCACCACGGCAGCCTTCTGCATGGGTGCCACGTGGCAGCACAGCACCACGGAGCAGCGCTGTGATGCTCGGAAGAACTGGAGAATAGAGAGATGAGAGGGGGAAGGAGAGAGGAAATGGGGGAAAGAGGTTAGGACTGTCACTGTGGGGGCCACCACAGCAGCCTCCTTCATGGGCGCCACGTGGCAGCACAGCACCAAGGAGCAGTGCTGTGAGGCACAGAAGAACTGGGGGAGAGGCGGAAGGAGAGAGAAATGGAAGGGGGAGATAGGACAGTCATTGTGGGGCGGGGCCTACCCCAGATCACAACACCAGTTTTGAGGCGCCTCAAAACAACACCACAGAACGGAATGGGGGGTCAAGGGAAATCAGTCGAATGAGAGATGGTGGCGCGGGAGGGAGAGCAGGCAGAAAATGCATGGCAGAGAGGAAGGGAGGCAGGGAAGCTAGAGGAGGGGAGCAGAGAGGGCAAGACAGAGTGGGCAAGCCAGCCAGGGCGATTCTTCATGTCAGTGTGTGGGGTGCTCTCACCAGGCCGCGCAGTGTAGGCGAAAGAGCGATGCCAGTGTATCGCCATCAATGGCCATGGCCCGTGACATTGCTGCCCTGCCTGCATGCCATGAGCCACATGCTTCCCCACCTGCACCTTATCTCACCAGGCGGGATGTTCTCACCAGGCGGCGCAGAGCAGGTGAGAGAGCGAGTGCCAGTGTAGCGCCATCGACGGCCATGGCACATGACGCTGCCGCACTGCCTGCATTCCATGAGCCCAGGGCGCCACTGTGTTTCCTCTGGGCGCCCATGTGCTTCCTCACCGCCTCCCCTGTCCTCCCCTCGCCTTCATCCTCCCCCAGGCTAGCCCCATTCAGGCCCCGCACCTCGCTACTGCCACAACTAACGCTGCTGCTGCTGCTCCTGCTCGCACCATCCCTACAATCACCCTCCTCCTCCTCCACTGCTGCAGCCCCTCCCTCTCCTCTCCCGCTCCCCACCCCCTCCACCTCTCCCAATCCCCCCGCTTCCCCCACCCCACTCCCCTCCATCCCACACACCTCCCTCAGCCTCCTCTCACACTCCCTCTCGGTCCCCGCACTCACCCTAACAACCCGATCCTCTCTCCTCACCAGCCCACACGACCGAGCGATTGAAACACCCGTCTCCACCTTATCCCCAGTCAGCATCCACACCTTCATCCCGGCCCCTCTCAGCATCTGTAGCGCTGCTGGCACACCCGCCTGTAGCCTATCCTCAATGCCTGTAGCGCCCAGAATCTGCAACCGCCGCTCCGTTTCGTCAGCTAGTGCGGCGAGCTGCGCGTCCCGGTCGGCGGAGAGAGAGCGGGCGGCGGCGCGGAAGGCGGCGAGCCAGGCGTGGAGGGCGGCGGGCGGGAGCGGGCGGGCGGCGATGACGAGAGTGCGCAGGCCGGTTTGAGAGTACTGATGAATGTGACGCTCGGTGGCAGAGAGAATGAGGTGCTGACGAGAGGGGTCATGAGAGGGATTGTGGTGTTGGGGATAACCTTTCTCTCGCACACTCTCCCCCGCATCCACCTCTGCATCATCTTCCCTTTCCTCCAATCCACCATCCTCTTCCCTTTCCCCTTCCCCATCCCCTTCCTCGTCTCCATCGCCTTCACCTTCACTCTCCTCGTCTATCTCATCCCCCATCACCGTCCCTGCTGCACTCTGCTCCCCCTCCCTGCCCCGTGCCCCTGCCCCTGGTCTTGCCGCTGCCCCCGCCCCCACAAAGCACCCACTCACATAGCATCCAAACCCCTTCCCGCTCCTTCGCCTCCCTCTCCCACCCTTCCCCACCCCTCTCCCCGATGCTCCTCCTTCTTCTGCTCCAGGACAACGGACATGTGCCGGCGCGTGCTGTCACACTCGTGCACCCCCAGCACCTCGTACCTGCACCGCACAAAGGGTAGGTATGATGGGACATGAAAGAAAGATTCAGTTAGCCGACAAACGGGAGGCACCTCAGAAAGCGGCTGCATGTGCTGTCACACTCGTGCACCCCCAGCACCTCGTACCTGCACCGCACAAAGGGTAGGTATGATGGGACATGAAAGAAAGATTCAGTTAGCCGACAAACGGGAGGCACCTCAGAAAGCGGCTGCATGTGCTGTCACACTCGTGCACCCCCAGCACCTCGTACCTGCACCGCACAAAGGGTAGGTATGATGGGACATGAAAGAAAGATTCAGTTAGCCGACAAACGGGAGGCACCTCAGAAAGCGGCTGCATGTGCTGTCACACTCGTGCACCCCCAGCACCTCGTACCTGCACCGCACAAAGGGTAGGTATGATGGGACATGAAAGAAAGATTCAGTTAGCCGACAAACGGGAGGCACCTCAGAAAGCGGCTGCATGTGCTGTCACACTCGTGCACCCCCAGCACCTCGTACCTGCACCGCACAAAGGGTAGGTATGATGGGACATGAAAGAAAGATTCAGTTAGCCGACAAACGGGAGGCACCTCAGAAAGCGGCTGCATGTGCTGTCACACTCGTGCACCCCCAGCACCTCGTACCTGCACCGCACAAAGGGTAGGTATGATGGGACATGAAAGAAAGATTCAGTTAGCCGACAAACGGGAGGCACCTCAGAAAGCGGCTGCATGTGCTGTCACACTCGTGCACCCCCAGCACCTCGTACCTGCACCGCACAAAGGGTAGGTATGATGGGACATGAAAGAAAGATTCAGTTAGCCGACAAACGGGAGGCACCTCAGAAAGCGGCTGCATGTGCTGTCACACTCGTGCACCCCCAGCACCTCGTACCTGCACCGCACAAAGGGTAGGTATGATGGGACATGAAAGAAAGATTCAGTTAGCCGACAAACGGGAGGCACCTCAGAAAGCGGCTGCATGTGCTGTCACACTCGTGCACCCCCAGCACCTCGTACCTGCACCGCACAAAGGGTAGGTATGATGGGACATGAAAGAAAGATTCAGTTAGCCGACAAACGGGAGGCACCTCAGAAAGCGGCTGCATGTGCTGTCACACTCGTGCACCCCCAGCACCTCGTACCTGCACCGCACAAAGGGTAGGTATGATGGGACATGAAAGAAAGATTCAGTTAGCCGACAAACGGGAGGCACCTCAGAAAGCGGCTGCATGTGCTGTCACACTCGTGCACCCCCAGCACCTCGTACCTGCACCGCACAAAGGGTAGGTATGATGGGACATGAAAGAAAGATTCAGTTAGCCGACAAACGGGAGGCACCTCAGAAAGCGGCTGCATGTGCTGTCACACTCGTGCACCCCCAGCACCTCGTACCTGCACCGCACAAAGGGTAGGTATGATGGGACATGAAAGAAAGATTCAGTTAGCCGACAAACGGGAGGCACCTCAGAAAGCGGCTGCATGTGCTGTCACACTCGTGCACCCCCAGCACCTCGTACCTGCACCGCACAAAGGGTAGGTATGATGGGACATGAAAGAAAGATTCAGTTAGCCGACAAACGGGAGGCACCTCAGAAAGCGGCTGCATGTGCTGTCACACTCGTGCACCCCCAGCACCTCGTACCTGCACCGCACAAAGGGTAGGTATGATGGGACATGAAAGAAAGATTCAGTTAGCCGACAAACGGGAGGCACCTCAGAAAGCGGCTGCATGTGCTGTCACACTCGTGCACCCCCAGCACCTCGTACCTGCACCGCACAAAGGGTAGGTATGATGGGACATGAAAGAAAGATTCAGTTAGCCGACAAACGGGAGGCACCTCAGAAAGCGGCTGCATGTGCTGTCACACTCGTGCACCCCCAGCACCTCGTACCTGCACCGCACAAAGGGTAGGTATGATGGGACATGAAAGAAAGATTCAGTTAGCCGACAAACGGGAGGCACCTCAGAAAGCGGCTGCATGTGCTGTCACACTCGTGCACCCCCAGCACCTCGTACCTGCACCGCACAAAGGGTAGGTATGATGGGACATGAAAGAAAGATTCAGTTAGCCGACAAACGGGAGGCACCTCAGAAAGCGGCTGCATGTGCTGTCACACTCGTGCACCCCCAGCACCTCGTACCTGCACCGCACAAAGGGTAGGTATGATGGGACATGAAAGAAAGATTCAGTTAGCCGACAAACGGGAGGCACCTCAGAAAGCGGCTGCATGTGCTGTCACACTCGTGCACCCCCAGCACCTCGTACCTGCACCGCACAAAGGGTAGGTATGATGGGACATGAAAGAAAGATTCAGTTAGCCGACAAACGGGAGGCACCTCAGAAAGCGGCTGCATGTGCTGTCACACTCGTGCACCCCCAGCACCTCGTACCTGCACCGCACAAAGGGTAGGTATGATGGGACATGAAAGAAAGATTCAGTTAGCCGACAAACGGGAGGCACCTCAGAAAGCGGCTGCATGTGCTGTCACACTCGTGCACCCCCAGCACCTCGTACCTGCACCGCACAAAGGGTAGGTATGATGGGACATGAAAGAAAGATTCAGTTAGCCGACAAACGGGAGGCACCTCAGAAAGCGGCTGCATGTGCTGTCACACTCGTGCACCCCCAGCACCTCGTACCTGCACCGCACAAAGGGTAGGTATGATGGGACATGAAAGAAAGATTCAGTTAGCCGACAAACGGGAGGCACCTCAGAAAGCGGCTGCATGTGCTGTCACACTCGTGCACCCCCAGCACCTCGTACCTGCACCGCACAAAGGGTAGGTATGATGGGACATGAAAGAAAGATTCAGTTAGCCGACAAACGGGAGGCACCTCAGAAAGCGGCTGCATGTGCTGTCACACTCGTGCACCCCCAGCACCTCGTACCTGCACCGCACAAAGGGTAGGTATGATGGGACATGAAAGAAAGATTCAGTTAGCCGACAAACGGGAGGCACCTCAGAAAGCGGCTGCATGTGCTGTCACACTCGTGCACCCCCAGCACCTCGTACCTGCACCGCACAAAGGGTAGGTATGATGGGACATGAAAGAAAGATTCAGTTAGCCGACAAACGGGAGGCACCTCAGAAAGCGGCTGCATGTGCTGTCACACTCGTGCACCCCCAGCACCTCGTACCTGCACCGCACAAAGGGTAGGTATGATGGGACATGAAAGAAAGATTCAGTTAGCCGACAAACGGGAGGCACCTCAGAAAGCGGCTGCATGTGCTGTCACACTCGTGCACCCCCAGCACCTCGTACCTGCACCGCACAAAGGGTAGGTATGATGGGACATGAAAGAAAGATTCAGTTAGCCGACAAACGGGAGGCACCTCAGAAAGCGGCTGCATGTGCTGTCACACTCGTGCACCCCCAGCACCTCGTACCTGCACCGCACAAAGGGTAGGTATGATGGGACATGAAAGAAAGATTCAGTTAGCCGACAAACGGGAGGCACCTCAGAAAGCGGCTGCATGTGCTGTCACACTCGTGCACCCCCAGCACCTCGTACCTGCACCGCACAAAGGGTAGGTATGATGGGACATGAAAGAAAGATTCAGTTAGCCGACAAACGGGAGGCACCTCAGAAAGCGGCTGCATGTGCTGTCACACTCGTGCACCCCCAGCACCTCGTACCTGCACCGCACAAAGGGTAGGTATGATGGGACATGAAAGAAAGATTCAGTTAGCCGACAAACGGGAGGCACCTCAGAAAGCGGCTGCATGTGCTGTCACACTCGTGCACCCCCAGCACCTCGTACCTGCACCGCACAAAGGGTAGGTATGATGGGACATGAAAGAAAGATTCAGTTAGCCGACAAACGGGAGGCACCTCAGAAAGCGGCTGCATGTGCTGTCACACTCGTGCACCCCCAGCACCTCGTACCTGCACCGCACAAAGGGTAGGTATGATGGGACATGAAAGAAAGATTCAGTTAGCCGACAAACGGGAGGCACCTCAGAAAGCGGCTGCATGTGCTGTCACACTCGTGCACCCCCAGCACCTCGTACCTGCACCGCACAAAGGGTAGGTATGATGGGACATGAAAGAAAGATTCAGTTAGCCGACAAACGGGAGGCACCTCAGAAAGCGGCTGCATGTGCTGTCACACTCGTGCACCCCCAGCACCTCGTACCTGCACCGCACAAAGGGTAGGTATGATGGGACATGAAAGAAAGATTCAGTTAGCCGACAAACGGGAGGCACCTCAGAAAGCGGCTGCATGTGCTGTCACACTCGTGCACCCCCAGCACCTCGTACCTGCACCGCACAAAGGGTAGGTATGATGGGACATGAAAGAAAGATTCAGTTAGCCGACAAACGGGAGGCACCTCAGAAAGCGGCTGCATGTGCTGTCACACTCGTGCACCCCCAGCACCTCGTACCTGCACCGCACAAAGGGTAGGTATGATGGGACATGAAAGAAAGATTCAGTTAGCCGACAAACGGGAGGCACCTCAGAAAGCGGCTGCATGTGCTGTCACACTCGTGCACCCCCAGCACCTCGTACCTGCACCGCACAAAGGGTAGGTATGATGGGACATGAAAGAAAGATTCAGTTAGCCGACAAACGGGAGGCACCTCAGAAAGCGGCTGCATGTGCTGTCACACTCGTGCACCCCCAGCACCTCGTACCTGCACCGCACAAAGGGTAGGTATGATGGGACATGAAAGAAAGATTCAGTTAGCCGACAAACGGGAGGCACCTCAGAAAGCGGCTGCATGTGCTGTCACACTCGTGCACCCCCAGCACCTCGTACCTGCACCGCACAAAGGGTAGGTATGATGGGACATGAAAGAAAGATTCAGTTAGCCGACAAACGGGAGGCACCTCAGAAAGCGGCTGCATGTGCTGTCACACTCGTGCACCCCCAGCACCTCGTACCTGCACCGCACAAAGGGTAGGTATGATGGGACATGAAAGAAAGATTCAGTTAGCCGACAAACGGGAGGCACCTCAGAAAGCGGCTGCATGTGCTGTCACACTCGTGCACCCCCAGCACCTCGTACCTGCACCGCACAAAGGGTAGGTATGATGGGACATGAAAGAAAGATTCAGTTAGCCGACAAACGGGAGGCACCTCAGAAAGCGGCTGCATGTGCTGTCACACTCGTGCACCCCCAGCACCTCGTACCTGCACCGCACAAAGGGTAGGTATGATGGGACATGAAAGAAAGATTCAGTTAGCCGACAAACGGGAGGCACCTCAGAAAGCGGCTGCATGTGCTGTCACACTCGTGCACCCCCAGCACCTCGTACCTGCACCGCACAAAGGGTAGGTATGATGGGACATGAAAGAAAGATTCAGTTAGCCGACAAACGGGAGGCACCTCAGAAAGCGGCTGCATGTGCTGTCACACTCGTGCACCCCCAGCACCTCGTACCTGCACCGCACAAAGGGTAGGTATGATGGGACATGAAAGAAAGATTCAGTTAGCCGACAAACGGGAGGCACCTCAGAAAGCGGCTGCATGTGCTGTCACACTCGTGCACCCCCAGCACCTCGTACCTGCACCGCACAAAGGGTAGGTATGATGGGACATGAAAGAAAGATTCAGTTAGCCGACAAACGGGAGGCACCTCAGAAAGCGGCTGCATGTGCTGTCACACTCGTGCACCCCCAGCACCTCGTACCTGCACCGCACAAAGGGTAGGTATGATGGGACATGAAAGAAAGATTCAGTTAGCCGACAAACGGGAGGCACCTCAGAAAGCGGCTGCATGTGCTGTCACACTCGTGCACCCCCAGCACCTCGTACCTGCACCGCACAAAGGGTAGGTATGATGGGACATGAAAGAAAGATTCAGTTAGCCGACAAACGGGAGGCACCTCAGAAAGCGGCTGCATGTGCTGTCACACTCGTGCACCCCCAGCACCTCGTACCTGCACCGCACAAAGGGTAGGTATGATGGGACATGAAAGAAAGATTCAGTTAGCCGACAAACGGGAGGCACCTCAGAAAGCGGCTGCATGTGCTGTCACACTCGTGCACCCCCAGCACCTCGTACCTGCACCGCACAAAGGGTAGGTATGATGGGACATGAAAGAAAGATTCAGTTAGCCGACAAACGGGAGGCACCTCAGAAAGCGGCTGCATGTGCTGTCACACTCGTGCACCCCCAGCACCTCGTACCTGCACCGCACAAAGTGTAGGTATGATGGGACATGAAAGAAAGATTCAGTTAGCCGACAAACGGGAGGCACCTCAGAAAGCGGCTGCATGTGCTGTCACACTCGTGCACCCCCAGCACCTCGTACCTGCACCGCACAAAGGGTAGGTATGATGGGACATGAAAGAAAGATTCAGTTAGCCGACAAACGGGAGGCACCTCAGAAAGCGGCTGCATGTGCTGTCACACTCGTGCACCCCCAGCACCTCGTACCTGCACCGCACAAAGGGTAGGTATGATGGGACATGAAAGAAAGATTCAGTTAGCCGACAAACGGGAGGCACCTCAGAAAGCGGCTGCATGTGCTGTCACACTCGTGCACCCCCAGCACCTCGTACCTGCACCGCACAAAGGGTAGGTATGATGGGACATGAAAGAAAGATTCAGTTAGCCGACAAACGGGAGGCACCTCAGAAAGCGGCTGCATGTGCTGTCACACTCGTGCACCCCCAGCACCTCGTACCTGCACCGCACAAAGGGTAGGTATGATGGGACATGAAAGAAAGATTCAGTTAGCCGACAAACGGGAGGCACCTCAGAAAGCGGCTGCATGTGCTGTCACACTCGTGCACCCCCAGCACCTCGTACCTGCACCGCACAAAGGGTAGGTATGATGGGACATGAAAGAAAGATTCAGTTAGCCGACAAACGGGAGGCACCTCAGAAAGCGGCTGCATGTGCTGTCACACTCGTGCACCCCCAGCACCTCGTACCTGCACCGCACAAAGGGTAGGTATGATGGGACATGAAAGAAAGATTCAGTTAGCCGACAAACGGGAGGCACCTCAGAAAGCGGCTGCATGTGCTGTCACACTCGTGCACCCCCAGCACCTCGTACCTGCACCGCACAAAGGGTAGGTATGATGGGACATGAAAGAAAGATTCAGTTAGCCGACAAACGGGAGGCACCTCAGAAAGCGGCTGCATGTGCTGTCACACTCGTGCACCCCCAGCACCTCGTACCTGCACCGCACAAAGGGTAGGTATGATGGGACATGAAAGAAAGATTCAGTTAGCCGACAAACGGGAGGCACCTCAGAAAGCGGCTGCATGTGCTGTCACACTCGTGCACCCCCAGCACCTCGTACCTGCACCGCACAAAGGGTAGGTATGATGGGACATGAAAGAAAGATTCAGTTAGCCGACAAACGGGAGGCACCTCAGAAAGCGGCTGCATGTGCTGTCACACTCGTGCACCCCCAGCACCTCGTACCTGCACCGCACAAAGGGTAGGTATGATGGGACATGAAAGAAAGATTCAGTTAGCCGACAAACGGGAGGCACCTCAGAAAGCGGCTGCATGTGCTGTCACACTCGTGCACCCCCAGCACCTCGTACCTGCACCGCACAAAGGGTAGGTATGATGGGACATGAAAGAAAGATTCAGTTAGCCGACAAACGGGAGGCACCTCAGAAAGCGGCTGCATGTGCTGTCACACTCGTGCACCCCCAGCACCTCGTACCTGCACCGCACAAAGGGTAGGTATGATGGGACATGAAAGAAAGATTCAGTTAGCCGACAAACGGGAGGCACCTCAGAAAGCGGCTGCATGTGCTGTCACACTCGTGCACCCCCAGCACCTCGTACCTGCACCGCACAAAGGGTAGGTATGATGGGACATGAAAGAAAGATTCAGTTAGCCGACAAACGGGAGGCACCTCAGAAAGCGGCTGCATGTGCTGTCACACTCGTGCACCCCCAGCACCTCGTACCTGCACCGCACAAAGGGTAGGTATGATGGGACATGAAAGAAAGATTCAGTTAGCCGACAAACGGGAGGCACCTCAGAAAGCGGCTGCATGTGCTGTCACACTCGTGCACCCCCAGCACCTCGTACCTGCACCGCACAAAGGGTAGGTATGATGGGACATGAAAGAAAGATTCAGTTAGCCGACAAACGGGAGGCACCTCAGAAAGCGGCTGCATGTGCTGTCACACTCGTGCACCCCCAGCACCTCGTACCTGCACCGCACAAAGGGTAGGTATGATGGGACATGAAAGAAAGATTCAGTTAGCCGACAAACGGGAGGCACCTCAGAAAGCGGCTGCATGTGCTGTCACACTCGTGCACCCCCAGCACCTCGTACCTGCACCGCACAAAGGGTAGGTATGATGGGACATGAAAGAAAGATTCAGTTAGCCGACAAACGGGAGGCACCTCAGAAAGCGGCTGCATGTGCTGTCACACTCGTGCACCCCCAGCACCTCGTACCTGCACCGCACAAAGGGTAGGTATGATGGGACATGAAAGAAAGATTCAGTTAGCCGACAAACGGGAGGCACCTCAGAAAGCGGCTGCATGTTCTGTCACACTCGTGCACCCCCAGCACCTCGTACCTGCACCGCACAAAGGGTAGGTATGATGGGACATGAAAGAAAGATTCAGTTAGCCGACAAACGGGAGGCACCTCAGAAAGCGGCTGCATGTGCTGTCACACTCGTGCACCCCCAGCACCTCGTACCTGCACCGCACAAAGGGTAGGTATGATGGGACATGAAAGAAAGATTCAGTTAGCCGACAAACGGGAGGCACCTCAGAAAGCGGCTGCATGTGCTGTCACACTCGTGCACCCCCAGCACCTCGTACCTGCACCGCACAAAGGGTAGGTATGATGGGACATGAAAGAAAGATTCAGTTAGCCGACAAACGGGAGGCACCTCAGAAAGCGGCTGCATGTGCTGTCACACTCGTGCACCCCCAGCACCTCGTACCTACGTTTTACGAACGAGGGAGATTCAGTTGACTGACTAGGGAGAAGACAAATGGATTTTGAGGCACCTCAGGAATCGCCTGCGTATGCTGTCAAACTCGTACACCCCCAGCACCTCGGTAGCTGCACAGAGGGTAGGTGTGCACGGTGGGTATGCTTCACGGCCAGGAAGGGTGCGACCTCCACAGATGTACATCATGTAGATCTGTGGAGGTCTCACCTTGTTGTAGATCTGTGTACGTTTGGCGTCTGACTCTGAGTTACAGCAGGCACATCATGTTCATGGTTCTGTTTTCTAGTCGCCTCCAAAGAGCCAAGCCTGAAGTAGCAAGTGGCAACCCATACCACACCAGTGCATCCCTCCCTTGTCCCTTGCCCCTTGCCCTGCCTTTATTTAGCCTACCCTCTCAAGTTGACCTCCTTCACAGCCTCTCACCTTTCGTCCTTCCCTCTGACGTTGATCACAATGTGGTGCTCTGATCGCTGCACTAGCTGCCAACCCATGCCGGCCGCAGCCTTCACCAGTGCCACCTCATCTGGCGACTCGCCCTGGTACTCAATCACCTCCGCCAGCTCCTCTGCTACGTCATCACTTGCCACGTCAGCAGTGGGCACTGCAGCCACGTCAAGAAGTCCCAGTTTCACATCAGCAGCCACAGATGAAGCAGCACCAGGGCTTTGATTCTGTGCTGCCATAACCAGTCCCCCATTCCCCTTGTGCTTCTCCCCTGCATCTTCCTTTCTTCCATCTCCCTCCTTTTCAATCTCCTCCTCTCCCTCTTCCTCCTCCCGATCCTCCACGTCATCCTCCCCCTCGCTCACAGCATGCATGTCCAGCTCACCGCTCGCTGTCACACTGACACGTGTCGGCACCACATTGTTGCACGCCGCCAGCACCAATAGGAACTCATCCAGCACCCCGCCAGCACCAGGCCCCGCCACGTCAGCAAACTCCCGAGCCAACCCCGCTGACAGCTGCAGCGGTCCCAAACCACCAACACCATCAGGCGGCTGCACCGACCGAGCCTCCACATCAGCCTCGGAAACCGCTCCAGGTTCGGCACCACCTTGAACCTCCACAGCCCGTGCATCAGCAGCAGGACCAACAGCAGCAGGAGCAGCAGACGCCCTTCGGATAAACTCAGACTCAGAGGCACCAGCAGCAGCGGCAGCAGCAGCAGCAGCAGAAGAAGTGTCAAAGGCTTTCCCGGTTGGAGTGAGGAGGGAGTGCAGATCTACACCAGCAACGGAGCAGGAGTGGAAGGCCATGCGGTTCTCAGTGAGCGTGCCGGTCTTGTCTGTCAGCACGTGCCTCACCTGCCCCAGATCCTCATTGATGTTCAGCGCGCGGCACAGCAACCCACTCTCGCTCTTGCCGCCACTAACACCACCGTCACCACCTCCGCTCCCCTTCCCATTGTCCAACCCCGCCGCTCCCACCACCGCCCCTTTCCCAACCTCCACCCCCTCCTCCACTGCCGCCTCCTCGCCTCCCTTCCCCTCTCCCACACGTTTCTTCTTCCTCCCCCATCGGCCAATCCTCATTCCCCGCGCACTCCCCACCCAGTGCCTCTTCCACCCAGCACTCGCCTCTGCCTCCCTGTGCCCCTCCTCATCACACATGTGCCGGTCACACGTCATGAGCACAGCCTGCACGATCCTCACCAGCTCCATGGAAATATACAGCGATATCGGCACCAGCACCTGCAGCAGAATCAGCGTCGCAAAGAAATTCAGCGCCGCCTCCCCTCCCACGCCCAGGTAATAATAACTCACGCCGTAATACGGCAGAGCGGGTAGGTCATGACTGCCAAGCCAAACGCCCATGCCGATAGCGCAGATCAGGCAGAGCACAGTGAGCAGGAGAGCGAGGAGAAGCATGTCTCGGTCTAGGTGTGACTCAATGTGGCTGCGCTTGGACTGCGCGCCCACGGAGTTAAGTACCACTTTGCAGTCGCTGCCCGTGTACACTGCAACACCTTCCACCCACGCTGTGTTCCGCACCTCGCATCCTCTAAGTAAAACGTTTAGCGGGCCCAAAGCCACACTGCTACTGGCAGGCGCCTCAGGGGTAATAGTAGGGCTGATGGTGGCGGTAACATGGCTGGTGCAGGTGCTAATGGTGCTGGCGGTGGTGGTGCTGCCAGCACTAGTGCTGCTGCTCGTGCCACAACCAGTAGTGTTAGCGACATTCCCAAAGCCGAATCTCGTCCCATTGCTTTCATCAGCATCTAACAGAGCAGCAGCAGCAACAGCAGCAGCGGTCTCATCAGCTCCATTGGAATCGCCGCCACGTGCATCAACGCATGCGGTGTTATTAGTACTAGACGTGCTGGTGCTGCTGCTGGTGCTGGCGGTGGTGCTCCCAGTGCTGCCCTTCCCGGATGGCTGCTGCAGGAAACCTTTCACACGTCAGCACCCCCGCCACCCCTCTGCTCCTTCGCCCTGCTTCCGCTGCAAAGAGCTGATTAGAGTGCTGATGTGCTGCTGCGGTTGCAGGCAGCTGCCTCGACTGCTGCGCTGCTGCTGCTTCTTCCTATGCTTCTGCGTCTCGTTCTGCTCCTGGAGCTGCTGTTGCGGCTGCTGCTGCGAGTGCTGCTGCTCCTGATCATGTTTCGAGGCGGGAGTGCCATCATTGCCACCACCCCCCGTGCTATCCCTGCCCTCATCGACGCCAGCCGCCAACTCTGTGTTCTTTAGGGCGGCAGAAACGCTGTACCTGGTCTTGAGGTTTGTCTCTCCGTCCAGATTCATTGTTTCCACAAACGCGCGACCCGACGGGTCGCTAGACGCCAAAAGCACGATGTCGCACGGGACTGTCGTGTCCCCCCGTACATGCACCAGCTCTCCCACGCGAATGCTCTGCCACGTGGCAGAGCACCACTGGCCACCGCGGTACACGAAGCACTCGCGCTCGTTCTCCTGCGCGTCGGCGCGGTGGCGTCGCCAGTCCTCGAAGGCGTCTTTAATCGCCGTTACCGTCAGCACGGAGAGCAGCGGAATGACGGAGATGTAACGGCCGAAGATCGCAAGCTGAGGGATCTGGTTGATTAAGATTAGGACGAGGAAGTAAATGTACGCGACGCGATGAAACTGCTCAAATAGGTTGCGAGGAAGGAAGGTTAGCAGCGTGTATTTACTCGTCCGGACGCGATTATTAGCCAATCGGCTTCTATGTATCCTCCACCTCGCTAAAAGGCCCTCCCCACCGTCCGATTCTTCAAGCTCGGCCTCTCGGATCGTACGGTCGGAATCGTCCACGTGAACGATGCGCTGTTGCGGCTTCTCGTGCGTCGTCGCCTGATCTGGAAGGATTGCGGGCGACGTTTCAGTCAAGCGCGACGCGCTGTCTGACGATCGCAGAGCGTCGGGAGCGGCTGCTTCCATTTCTGCTGTGCCGTCGCGTCGACGAAAAGGCCTCGATGGCTGAAACACTCGCATGATTCTGTCCATGCTCTAATGTCTCTGAACGGCGAGCGGGTTTCCCACGTGTGCAAGGTGGCGATGCGGCTGTTCTTAGGTTCCGCTACTTCAACATTCAATGGCCTCTAATGTTTCAAGCTGCTCAACTATTCGTGCTACTTCGCAAACTAATTGGCCTGCAGATTAGAACCTCTGCAGACTCAAGCTGGGCATACATTGTCCTGGTTCAGAACATACGCTGTGTGATGAGGAACCAGTTCAGGGGGCGGCGACATTCCCGAAGTCGAAGCTATCTGGGCATAGAAGCAAAACAGCAAGGCTATGTTGGGTTGGCTCTGTAGCTATTGTCCAATAGCATAGGCATAGCATGCTGACATTGAGAGGGGCACCCAGACCCTGGGCAGGTCAGAAATCATCCATGCCATCCATTTCCACGTCGAAGCCCATCGGACGGTTTTGATGGCCTTCAATGGATGAAAGGACTGGGACGTTGACGTCACACTGTCGGACCGCCCTTTCAGGAAACTTGGAACCTCCGCCGAAAGAATTGGAACGAGCCAACATGCTTAGCAGAGTCAACATAAAGGTGAACAAAACAAGGTAAGTCTGGGTGCACACTGTAACACCCATTTTTTCCAGCACGCCAGCTCGTGAAATGCTACAGTAAAGCTTCGAGATTAGGGCGTGTGTGACTACATTTTTGGTATAAGTTGCGTTTTAAATTTGAATGTAGCGTTTGAACATGAGGTGAACAAAATTCTACTTTCGTTGATGGCTAAGTTCGATCCGCGCGTCTTGCAAACGGTTGAAGCACAACAGCACACCCAAGTTCGATTTTGCACGTTGGACCTTATAGGGGGTGAACCGAGCCGCCTGTGGGTTATTTAAGTTACCTGGTTTCGTCTAGCTCTGCGAGACGAACTGTTTACCTGGTTTCAGTGATGCGTTCATTGGTGCACAAACAAATCGCGCAATTCTTCAACTTCTCTTGCGTGCCCAATATAACACATCTTCGGTTCATCGTGCACTCTCACGTTCGTGTGAAAGGAACAACAGGAATGAATGAACTAGGAAAGTGTGAGATACAAATATGAAAGCTGTACCCCTTAGTGTCTACCCCACTACAGCCTACATAGGCTAAGGCATATATATCTGACACACCCCCATAGGCAAAGTGGGGGAGAACTAGGGGTCACAAGACCAGTCAAGCAAAGCAAGCTCAGGGTGGATCACAACGTCACCACACAGTCTGAGCACAGGTTCAAAGGCCACAAGGCCAGTTCACATGCAAGTTCATATATAAAGGTAAACAAGCAAGTATAGGTATATATAGATCACAGAACAAGCAAAGTCAAGAGGTAAGCAAGTGAGGCCAAGTAGGCACAAGACCTAGCATAGTACAGAAGCGCTGATGATCACAAGGCTGAAGTGCCTTGGTAAAGATATCAGCAGTGTTGGCCTGAGAGGCCACGTAAGCAAGGCGCAGCTGGCCACGCTACTGCAGCTCACGAGCAAGGAAGTAGCGAAGAGCAATGTGCTTCGTTCTGTGCTCCAGTCTGTGCTCCCGACACAAGGCCAGCATGGCCTTGTTGTCTACGTACAGAACTGGAGGAGAATGAGGCGGCTCTCCCAGGTCAGTCAGCAAGTAGGTGAGCCAGCGTAACTCCTGTGCAGCCATGGCCCCTGCGTAGATCTCAGCCTCACAGCTGGAGCTGAGAACAGAAGACGAGCGGGTAGACCGCCACGAAACAGAGCCGGAACCAAGGCTGAAGGTGTAACCCTGTGACGAACGCTGCGTAGCCAGGTCGTCCACCCAAGACGCGTCTGCGTGACCAGTGAGGATCACTGGACTCCGCCCTCCAAGCACTAGCCCCAAGCCCGAAGTACTGCACAAGTAGCGCATCACCCTTTTCGCTGCAGCCATGTGCTCTGGTCGGTGTCTCCCAAGAGCAACATAGCGCGCCAGAATGCTCAGAGGGTATGCTAGGTCAGGTCGAGTGCAGGTCATCAGGTACATGAGGCAGCCAACAAGCTCTGGGTACGGGCCACTCGGCTCTACGGACTCATCCGAAGGCAGAGCTGAGAGCGAGTGGCGAGTAGACAGAGGAGTGGCCTGAGGCGAGGAGTACGTGAAGTCGAAGCGCCGAAGGACCTGCTGCACCATGTGTGACTGAGTCAGGGTAATGGTGCGGCATGCTCTGTCCCGGGTGATCTGCAAGCCAAGATAGCTGCGCAGTTCACCCAGGTCTGTGCACGTGTGTCTCTTCTGCAGCTCGGACTTCACGTGGGCGAGTCCAGCAGTGTCAGCTGTAGCAAACACCAAGTCGTTGTGAAATGAACAACAGGAATGAATGAACTAGGAAAGTGTGAGATACAAATATGAAAGCTGTACCCCTTAGTGTCTACCCCACTACAGCCTACATAGGCTAAGGCATTCATATCTGACACACCCCCATAGGCAAAGTGGGGGAGAACTAGGGGTCACAAGACCAGTCAAGCAAAGCAAGCTCAGGGTGGATCACAACGTCACCACACAGTCTGAGCACAGGTTCAAAGGCCACAAGGCCAGTTCACATGCAAGTTCATATATAAAGGTAAACAAGCAAGTATAGGTATATATAGATCACAGAACAAGCAAAGTCAAGAGGTAAGCAAGTGAGGCCAAGTAGGCACAAGACCTAGCATAGTACAGAAGCGCTGATGATCACAAGGCTGAAGTGCCTTGGTAAAGATATCAGCAGTGTTGGCCTGAGAGGCCACGTAAGCAAGGCGCAGCTGGCCACGCTGCTGCAGCTCACGAGCAAGGAAGTAGCGAAGAGCAATGTGCTTCGTTCTGTGCTCCAGTCTGTGCTCCCGACACAAGGCCAGCATGGCCTTGTTGTCTACGTACAGAACTGGAGGAGAACGAGGCGGCTCTCCCAGGTCAGTCTGCAAGTAGGTGAGCCAGCGTAACTCCTGTGCAGCCATGGCCCCTGCGTAGATCTCAGCCTCATAGCTGGAGCTGAGAACAGAAGACGAGCGGGTAGACCGCCACGAAACAGAGCCGGAACCAAGGCTGAAGGTGTAACCCTGTGACGAACGCTGCGTAGCCAGGTCGTCCACCCAAGACGCGTCTGCGTGACCAGTGAGGATCACTGGACTCCGCCCTCCAAGCACTAGCCCCAAGCCCGAAGTACTGCACTAGTAGCGCATCACCCTCTTCGCTGCAGCCATGTGCTCTGGTCGGTGTCTCCCAGGAGCAACATAGCGCGCCAGAATGCTCAGAGGGTATGCTAGGTCAGGTCGAGTGCAGGTCATCAGGTACATGAGGCAGCCAACAAGCTCTGGGTACGGGCCACTCGGCTCTACGGACTCATCCGAAGGCAGAGCTGAGAGCGAGTGGCGAGTAGACAGAGGAGTGGCCTGAGGCGAGGAGTACGTGAAGTCGAAGCGCTGAAGGACCTGCTGCACCATGTGTG